TGTTATGAAATAATTAAAATAATATATGTGAATAGCTATTTCGCCCTCGATGTATATGTATTATTACAAGTTATGTCATCAGAAGTTTCCTATAAATAAAAGCTTCAATTATAATGAAAATTGTACCTAAGAGAATACATATATATTTTTTAGTTAATATATACATTTTCTCTATTCTCCTATTCTCTCTATTCTCCTATTCTCTCTAGTTTTATAATAGTTATATATATTTTTTAGTTAAGAAATTGATAAAAATCAAGAATATGAAAATAGAAGATAATTATCGTTATTAGTTGGTAGGCCTAGCCCAAAGGAAAGTCCAGCTTCGTAATAGGAAACCCATGGCTTGCCATTGCCAAGATAGCCGTTACAAACTATGTAACGGCTACTTTTTCACTTTGAGCTGTTAACGAAAAGAAGAGAGAAACAAAATTAGATTTTGAGTGATAAATTCCCTTTCCTTTTCTCCAAACGTCTTTCCTCAACATTCCCAATCGAAACCACCCTGCTAAGACATTAATCTCCAATCTTCTTTTCTGTCTTCTCTTCTTGAATCACATTGAAAATTCAACACCTCACAATAAAAATCATCCTCTCCTCTTTCAATCTGATCATCCATGGCGCCCAAACCTTCATCAAAATCGAATCATTCTACGCCGTCAAGACGACCCAACACAGCCCACCACCAATCCAGGACTCCTCAGTCAAAGCACCGGCTTCAGTTCAACAGCTTGCCGTCCGAGCACCCAGTTGAAGTCGTCGGCAGAATCCGTGATCACCCCAACAAGCCCAGTGCAAACCCCACCTCGGCCCTGCAAATCAACGGCGATGGAAAATCGGTGAGAGTGCAAACAGAGATCGGGTACAGAGATTTCAGTCTGGACGGGGTCTCGTATTCGGAAGAGAACGATCTCGAGGGTTTTTATCACAAGTTTGTGGAGTCGAGGGTTCATGGTGTCAAGCTGGGGCAGAAATGTACGGTCATGATGTATGGGCCGACGGGCTCGGGCAAGAGCCACACCATGTTTGGGTGTTTTAAGCAGCCCGGGATAGTGTACAACTCCCTCAAGGGCATTTTGGGTGAAGAGGAAAATGGACAGAAGTTGACATTTGTTCAGGTCACTGTTTTAGAAATTTATAATGAGGACATTTATGATCTTCTGTCAGCAGGCAACGGATTCAGTCTTGGGTGGTCGAAAAACAGTTATGCTTCTAAGGTGAAAAAAACATATGAAATTTTCATGAATCTTTTTATTGTACTAGCAAGTTGACTTCTTTTTACATTTAATGTCTCACTGTCTGGATTACAGTAAACCCTATGTGAACCTTGAGTTTCTGTCAATCATGTTTGTTGGTTTATTGTGAGACCATTTTAAGGTCGAATAATTTTCTACCTCAGCTGGGTTTTTTATAGGCCAGTTATTTCACAGCGAGGTTGAACTATGGCCATTGATGCTTGCTCTGAACTATGGTTCATTGTGTGTTTCTTTCTTTCTTTCTTTTTTTTTTTTTGCAGGTGAAATTGGAAGTGATGGGAAAGAAAGCAAAAAACGCGACATTCATTTCGGGTAACGAGGCTGGAAAAATATTGAAAGAAATTCAAAAGGTTGAGAAGAGAAGGATTGTCAAAAGCACGCTGTGCAATGAGAGGAGCTCTCGAAGCCATTGCGTGGTACAATATTTTCGAACCTATTCTCATCCTTTAGTGAATACATGAAGAGTGAAATCGACTAATGAAAAGAGTGTTTTTTGTTTTTACTTACAAAAATTGCAGATAATTGTCGATGTTCCAACCACGGGAGGGCGGCTAATGCTTGTGGACATGGCAGGTTCAGAAAATATAGAACAGGCCGGACAAATTGGACCGGAAGCAAAAATGCAGGCACAATTTTGTTTTTAAATTTTTCACCTTGTCTATCTTCTTGAAATATACTGAAACTTAATGTTTCCTCAAAATCACGACAAATGTGCGAATATTAGTACCTTCTCTCTATATGCAGACAGCTAAGATCAACCAGGGCAATATAGCGCTAAAGAGAGTTGTTGAGTCAATCGCAAATGGCGACTCACATGTCCCATTTAGAGATAGCAAGTTAACTATGCTTCTTCAGGTTAAACCTTATAAGCAGTTTTTATTGTTAATGAATCAATATCGATATTTCTGAAAATTAATTTGGTTTGCTTTTTATTTTATTTTTTATTTTTTTTAAAAAAAGGATTCCTTTGAGGACGTTAAGTCCAAAATCTTGATGATACTATGCACGAGTCCCGACCCAAAGGAACTACACAAAACCATTGCTACCTTAGAATACGGCGCAAAGGCCAAGTGCATAGTCCGAGGTCCTCATACGCCTGTTAAGGACAGAGCAGCCGAAGATTCTTCATCTGCTGTGTCAAGAATAGCGGTCCTTGACCAGTTCATCTGCAAGCTACAGGCTGAAAATAAAATAAAGGAAAAAGAGAAGAATGAGGTACAGAAAGATCTGAAACGCAAAGAGGAGGAAATTTCTCAGCTGAGAGCTAAACTTGTCTCGGGGGTGGGCCAAGTAAGTGAGGAAGAGATCAACTTGAAAGTCCATGAGCAGACCCGACTGCTGAAAAATGAACTGGAGAGGAAAATAACTGAGTGCCAGAATATGGCCAATGAGGTTCTTGAGATGGAGAGGAGAAAGATGGAGGAGAAAATGTCCCAACAGCAGAGGGAGGTCGAATTTCTAAGGCAGCGTTTGGAGGATATCGAGAAAGAGGTCCTTCGCCAATCGTCAGTAGAAATTGACAGCGGGAATTTCATGAAAAGGCTGCTGGAAGGCTGTAATGAGGACTCGGATATGGTGAAGTCGATGGACCTTTCCAAATCCATCGACATGGAGAATCCTACTAACACTGTTGTTTTTGGATGCATTAACAGCATTAACGAAGGAATGCATGGTTTCTTGCCCAACAAGGCATGCCTGACAACTGTGTACGAGGAGGACGAGTATGAAAATGAGAATGACGATGAGGTGCGGAAAGAAGTTATCGAGGAGAAAAGAATGGTAGTCACACCAGAAGCTTCATTTTCGAACGACGAGCTCGAAAATTCTGACGATGCAACCCGTTCCCGTCAACTAAGGATTCAGAATATTTTTACTCTCTGTGGGAATTATAGAGATATCTCTCAGCAAAATAGTTGCACTAGTAACGTTGATGATTGTGCTCCGAGAGTAATACTTGATGAGATCTCTTGGCTTCAGACAAGCAAACCGAAAACTGTTTCTGTGTTGGAAAAACTTGAGGTGACAGATCAGAATAGAGAAGATCTTGTGATGGATCGGAAGGAGGAAGATAGAAATCCTGTGGATGATGATGATGATGGTGTTGACGTTTATGTGAAATGGGAGGTACCTAAGGAGAATCCAGGAAAGCAAATCACGACTCTGAAGGTTTCAAAGAATTCTAGTCTTACTGATTTGAGAAAGTTGATTGAGATTCATCTCAGTGGGGAAGCTTTCTCTTTTCTTGTTGGGGTATGCTGTTCTTGCTTCTTTTGCATATTGTTTGGTGCTGGTTTTTACACTAAACGTTTACCAGTCATCACGAACTTAGAATTTAGAGATGCATTTCATTTAACTGATCAAAAGGATGGAAAATGATGCCTGGTTTTCGGACAATTAGTCTGCATAAGTTCAGGATATACAGAAACTAAGATGTTCAATCAAAGTAAAGAGAAAACAAAAAATAGGTGTAAACCCCAACCTTAATGCATTATGGGGTAACGAATATAAATGTGAGAGGTTTCTGGAAAATGTTCAGTTTGTTTTTTTGTGATTTGTGATAGCTTAGTTGGTATTCTTGTTTCTTTTTACTTGTCCAGTAGAAATTTTGTTGTCCCTTTACATTTCCAACTTGTGCATACATCTTATCTTGTGTTCATAGTTGGTCATTCTCGGTTGCTACTTCCTTTGACTTATTAACTCACATTTTTTGTATGGTGTAATAAAACAGGACCCATCTGATTCACCCGTGCCTAAGGAAAAAGAAGGCACTATACAAACAAGCCAGCTCCCAGGTTGTAACAAGCAATTACGTGGCGGTTATCTAGCTAGTTTACGTCCTGTCAAGTCGAGCCAGTGGCGGCCTACTAACCGCCATCCGTTTAGTTCTCTTGAAAACAAGTTGGTGCCTACAACAACTCCAAAATCACAAGACACAAAGAAAATTAATGATGGCTCCTCAATTGATATGCTATCTACAACTTTTATCACCGTCCAACAATAGTAGGAATTATTTGTACGGCTTGGACGAACATCTGTTGAAAGGTTGGTTTTGTGCAGTAATTATGTGTTTTTGAGCTTTTTTGGAAGGTGAATTAAACTGCACGGTTGATGAGTATGCCTTAGCAATATGTACTCCTGGTGCATTAGGTGTATTGGCCTAAAGATATTGCAAATGTATTGGATTTTTTCTGTTGATATTTGCGTTTTTTTACTGCCTAAAGCAGACGTGTTTTCCGTTGGCTGAAGTTGCGCGAACAATTGTAATATATTATTTATTTACCTCAAACACTAGACATTAAAATGGGTCATAAAATTAACATGGCATGTTATTTAAAATATAAAATAAATAGTCCTCGCGTAATTTTTAGTATTTATAGAGCGTGATTTTATTTTTATAAATAGCAAGTTTCATTATTTGAGGTATTTATTTATTATTATTTGCAGTGGCGAAACCAGCCGGTCATCTCGGGGAGGGCCCAATTTGCCGCGGCGCACCACCCACACTCCGGCCATCCCCCGGCGCACCACCTCCACTCCGGCATCGGAAGGGCGCCCAAAGGGCTTTTGTGGACGCTCTCAAAAAATTTTGCAGGATATAAAGAAATACTCTAGAGATTTTTTTAGAAATCAAACTAAGTCCGGAATTAAACTGGTATACTTAAACTGAATTGTTTTAACTCAAAAAATTCTTGAATTTATACTAATAAAATCTCGGACTCAATTATAATAATAATCAAGAATTATACCTCCTTTCGAATAGACGAAAAGCTGAAAAATTTGAGAAAACGATGCCTCGAACGATCGAACTCGTCCTCGACAAATTTCCTCCTTTTGATACTATTTAACGCAGAAATTCAAACTCCAGCAATAAATGCTTGGAACTCCGAAAAATGCGAAATTTGTCCGTATGGAATCGTGCTTGAATTGTCTACACGCTCCAACTCGATTCTCGTTAAACCGAGGTCACACGTAACCTTACGGAACCCCGCAAAACGGCTTTTTATTCTTCTATTATGCGCACTCGACTTCGAGCTTCTCAAAATAAATGCTCGAAACTTCTAAACGTGAAATAAATTATACGAACAACTTCTACTGTTCTCATGCTTTCAAGAAAGCACTCTCGCTAATTTTCAGCACGTCTAACGAAGGCCGACGGTTACCCGAAGTCTAGACATGAAAATGACAATAAAATCACCGCCACTGTCATTTTTTTCTCTATTTCGGGCTACCAAAAATAAATGGTTGGGACCTCAAAATCATAAATCGATGCCACCAACGCACTCTCCGCTTCCCGTACTTTCATAAAAGTATTTTTCGGTAATGATCGACTCGGTTTTTGAGTCTCGTCGGTACACCGCAAGTCGGCTAATTAACCAACTCAAAATATAATAAAAATGAAAAAAATATTAAATTTTGCTGCTGTTATAGTTCTCATTGTCCCGAAACCAGGATCTCGTTTTGGGGAGGGGCCAATTTGCTTTTAAAAAAAATTTTCACGACAAAACCGGTGGCGCCCCTCCGGTCATGTATGTACCGCATGAAACCGGGGAGGGCCCAACATGCGCGTTCAAAGGAAAATCTTTCAGTTCCAACAAAATCCTCCACCCCTAGTTATTTTTTTTTTTTTGGAGGGGCCGGCGCCTCTCCGACCCCCCAAGTGCTTTCGCCCCTGATTATTTGCATTAAATTGAATATTTAATTTTAGTCTAAGTCATGGAGAATTTGTTCGATTTTTAATTTACAAAAATCAAATTAATTTATCCCAAGTATCGGTTTTATTTTTAAGATAAAATTGAGCTTTGGAAAATTGAAATTTTATTTCGGACTGAGCATGGGACTCAGAGAGTTCCGAATCGTTCCAAAAACTGAACCGAAATCACTCCAAACCGAAAAATAACCGTTGACCGTTTGACTTTCTCCGAACCGAACCGAACTGAAAAAATAATTGGTACGGTTCTAGAGATTTCACAAATATCCGTACCGAGAACCGAACCGAACCGTCTTGTACTGTACCAAACGGAAGAACCGAAATTAAGAACCGAATTATACCATTAGATGTGTTATTAATATATTTTATGTCAACTTTGATTCTATATAATATAGTAATAAATATTAACCTTCACTTAAATTTCATGCTTAGTAATACTTGATCTACACTTGAATTTTTTCTATTACAAAATAATTAATTAAAATAATATGAAAGTTTAAAGAATATTAAGAAAAAAACTACCATATTTTATTTGAATTTTAAATTTTCAATATTAGTTATACAAATTTAGTTATAACTAAAATTTAGAGTTACTTATAAAGTTGATTTCAAAATAAAATCTTTAATGTGAGGAAGTACTGATGAATGTTGGTTTTATTAAACAATATAAAAATTAAATAACTTAAAATTTAGAGTTACTTCTAGAATTCATTTCAAAATAAAATCTTCAATATGTTGAATTATTGATGAATGTTGTTTTTTTAAAGCATATAAAAATTAAAATATAACTAGGTAGTCATTCAAAAATAATTTAAAAAAATATAAAATCTCCGAACCAAACCATACCGAACCGAACCGTCCCAATAGTCCCGAATACCGACCCGAATTGAATCAAAAAATAAAAATCTCCGAACTGAACCGATCCGACTTTTTGGTACGGTTTCGGAGATCAAATTTTGGGATCTCCGAAGTTTGGTATGGTTCTGGAGATTTATCAATCTCTGAACCGTAACGACCCACGCTCACCCCTAATTTTATTTATGTCCGGCCGAAGCTCGGACGAGCCGAACCTCGGCCTGAATATTTAATCTATTCGGCCCAATCGAGTAGGCCTAATAATTCGAGTCCAGCAATTCGACCCATTTAATCGTGCCCGTCATTTTATCTACTCGACTCGGTCAATTATTTTTAGTCCAAGTCCCGTTACATTTCAATGGTGCCGAACATTTTATTACTGTGCCCAAGTCAGTGCATAGTCAAAGTCCAAGTCCAAATTCTTACAAAAACCCTAACTCCCTCTCAGTACTATATATACATCCCTACACTTAGCACACATTCATCATTTTTCCCAACATCCTCCATCAAACCTTAGATCTAGAATTCAAGAGCAAAATATCATCTCCTAGCCCTTCACTAAAAAAATCGCACGTCCCCGCCGGTTCCAGCCGCCCTTCACGCCAGCAGCGGCAACACAACTTTCGTACGCCTCAGCCAGCTGCGAGCTAGACCCGCCAGAGTACGCACGCGCACGTCCAGGTCCCATGCAGCTCCCGACAGCCCTTTTTCGTGCATGACGAGTCGACCCAGCGACCCCAGTGTTCGTACATTGTGCGCCCTCGTCCAACAGACGCATCCCAGCGTCGATCGAGCCTAGATCCGTGGGCTGCACGTCTGGTCGCGCGTGTCCCGTGGCCAAGCAAGCAGTTCTAGCGCACCTAACAATAGATCCGTGTCGCACGCCCTCTCTCCGTACGCGCGCGTCTTTATCCAGCCAGACCTGAGCCCGCGCGGGTGTCACCTATCCAACACTTTCTTTTGATTTTTGTTTTGAGTCCATTTTGTGGTATAATGGCTGAAACTCATAACTTCTATGGCTCAGACAAGTATTTTAGTTTATTTTAAAAATGGTAAATGATGAATATGAGTGAGATATGAATTTATCTAGATTTATTGAGTTCAATGACTAGAAATTCGTATTAAATTGCATGCTAGATTAAAACCCATGATTCCAACTCTATAAATCTTGCTAAATTGTCTTGAGGCTAGGGTTAAATTTGGTGAATTTTGGAGTTTGTTTGCTATGCGAATCGGATTTTTGAATCTAGATCTATAATGCTCGATTTTAGTTGATTGAGTTAGAGAATTTATTTGGATGAGATCTTTTTACAAAAAATCATATATTTGTTGAAATTATTGTGGTTTAAATTTCGTGATTTTTGGAGGTCGTTTGATATAGTTTAAAAATCAGGACTTTAGCTATGACTTGTGATATTTTTAGAAATTGTTAAAGTTGCGATTTAGCTGAAGTGTTGGATGTAAAATCCTTATAAACCACATAGAAATTAGGGTTAAATATTCAGTTTAAAATGAGTAGGTTTGGCCGGTGAAGTAGACAACCCTAGTTCGGCTTTTTCGAACACCGAGTAATTGTTAGGTCCTAGTGAAATCGCCCAAACTCTAGTACCGTTTAATGACTTTAGGCATAGTAATAAATGATTCCTTGGGTTTTCGAGATGTGTTCGGTCGGCCGGGGAGTCGCTGGTGAACCCATAATCGAGCCTAAGAAGGCTACCGAGCCGTGTGCCTCGTAGCGAGCGTAACCAACCAACCGGTTAGCATTAGCACGTAACCTCAACACGTATCAATGTCCCGAACACGTGTCCCACTCTCGTCTAATATTTATAGGCAGGGACACATGAGGGAGGTTTTCCCAGACCGCATTGAGCGCCAGCAGGTCAGCATTAGCCGGCCTCGAACCAACTATTAGTGTTATATACTGAAAGCTTGACTTTGGATGATATTATACTTTTACCCTTTATGAATGAGAAACTTGTTAGATTAAACAAGTTTTATATTCTGTTGTTTTACATTAGATAGGGTGGGTCGTCATCGGGCGAACTAAAGATTACTCTATCAGTTACTCGCTAAACAAGAATTAATGGTTCACAACCTAGATGTACATAAACACCCCATCAGAATAGTTGTAGTGTCAACCGTACATATTTTCTTGGCTGATTAGTTGCACTATTACATTTATGTATTAAACAAGATCCCAGAGAGGAGCAGTTCGCTTTATACTGATCGTCGTAAACGAATTAGGCCTCAGTTAATTACTGCATACTCTTAACTTGTAAGATATTAAACAGACATATATGTGTAGTACTTATTACTTTGATTCACATGGGCGAGGCCTAGTGAACTAGGCAAATAGACCCTCTATCTTGGGTAATATTGCTACATGTAGGATGTGCTGTTAGGATCTTTACGGTCACCATATGCGTTAGTTTGATGAT